TACTCTTGTGTGTCATACCTGTTCAAATTCGGTCGCTAGAAGAAATTTGAGCAAGAGAGAGCGCAACTCGTATGACACTGTGGCAGCACAAAAAGCGTGCCAAGCGCCAAATGCGGTGAAAACTACAAAAAGTAGTTTTTTGGTAAAAAGTGTGTAGAGTTAATAATAAGAATTATAACAATAAAGAAGAGACAAAAGAGTCTAGCTAAAGTGTGCACAAGAATAACAACGTGTTTTTATTTAACTGATAGTGTATAGTAAATTAATGTGGTTTGTGCAACTACAACTGGTGACCCCGACTGAAAATAACACTGCAATATTAAACAACACCAAATAAAACAAAAAATCAAAATGAATAAAAAAAAGCAAGACAACAACAATACACAAACAAAAAATGCTGATGTTTGTGACGAAAAGCATGTAACATCAACGCTGGTGCATTCTATTCAAGATGCAAATTTACCTAAATTTTGGAAGAATAAGCCTGATCTATGGTTTATACAAGTTGAATCACGATTCAGGTCCAAGGGGATAGAAAAAGATTTGGCTAAATATGACGCTGTGGTTGGTGCTGTGGATTTAGATGTCATCGAATTGGTGACAGACATCCTTCGCGATCCACCAATTGAAAATAAATACGAATATTTAAAACAAAATTTAATAAAACGCCTGACTCTATCCAGCGAAAAGCAGTTGTTGACGCTAATAAATGATCTTCAATTAGGAGACACAAAGCCAACACAATTACTACTAAAAATGAAAGAACTTGCACCTCGTCTTGATGAAGAATATTTAACGTCTATGTGGAAAAATAAATTACCTCAACATGTACGTGAACTATTAACAGTAACTGATAAATGTGATCTGGAAACTTTAGCAAGAGTAGCGGACAACATAATGGAACAAAGTCAACGAGACAACTACGTCATGGCTACCAGCATGAAATCTAAAATGTATGAAGATTCTACAGATATAACAATTAAGAAGTTTGAACATTTGTTCATGTCTTTCTCCAGTGACATCAGAACTAGACTAGATTCGATTGAAAAACAATTACATCTACGATCTTATTCACGTGAGCGTTCTAGAACTCCAGCAACACAAAAACTTTGTTTTTATCACAAGAAATTTGGCGATAAAGCATACAAATGTGTCACTCCTTGCACATTTTCTTCAAATAAAAATTCGGAAAACTAAAAAAACTGTCAGTCATGGAGACAGTGGGTGACAGGCCGCCGCAAATGTCTCAAAAAGAATTCAGACTACATGTGTACGACAAAACAAGCAGACTAAAATATTTAATTGATTCCGGATCAATAGTATCTGTTTTGCCACTCAAGTGTTGTCCGGGTAACAAATTTTTCAAATTTTTCAAATCTTTAAATCTAAATTTATTTGCAGCAAATGGTTCGTCTATCTCAACATATGGAAATAAAATCATGCAACTTGATCTAGGTTTACGTCGAACTTTCAAATGGGTGTTTTTAATTGCAGATGTAACTTTACCAATAATTGGCGCCGATTTTTTATCCTACCACGGGTTGGTACTAGATCTTAAAAACCAAAGACTATTGGACTCAAAGACAACTGTTTCGTCACATGGTACACTAATTCATGCTGAAATTTTTAGCATTTCTACAGTTTCAGATCAGATAGATTTTAATGGCATCCTTAAAAAATTCTATGAGATAACTCAACCAAATCTAGATCCAAAACTTATAAACAAGCGCACTCTTTCTCATTACATAGTAACAACAGGTCAACCGACTGCTGAAAGACCGCGAAAACTTTCTGGTGAAAAATTAAAAGCAGCTAAAAGCGAGATAAACTTTTTATTGGATCAAGGCATCCTACGGCCATCAAAAAGTCAATGGGCCAGTCCAATTCATTTAGTAAAGAAGAAATCAGGGGGATGGAGAACATGTGGTGATTTTAGAAGGCTAAACGCTCAAACAGTTCCAGATCAATATCCACCACCGCTAATACAAAGTTTATTTGAAAAACTATACAACAAGACAATATTTTCAATTTTGGATTTGGAACGTGCTTATCACCAAATACCAATGAATCATGATGACATAGAAAAAACCGCTATCACAACTCCTTTTGGTTTGTATGAGTATTTATATATGCCTTTCGGTTTGAAGAATGCCACTCAAACTTGTCAACGATTCATAGACTCAATTTTTCGAGACCTAAACTTCGTTTTCTGTTACGTAGATGATATCATCATTATGTCCGAATCATCCAATGAACATCAAAAACATTTAAAAATTGTCTTACAAAGATTAAAAGAAAACCAACTCAGGTTGAACGTTGCTAAATGCAAATTAGGTCAAAGTCAAGTAGAATTTTTAGGCTACCACATTAGCAAAGATGGTTACAAACCTCCACAAGAGAGAATAAATGCTATCATTAATTATTCAAAGCCTACCAATGTATCAGAACTTCGCCGATTTATGGGAATGATTAATTACTATCGCTGTTGCATTGCTAAGTTCGCAGAAAAACAAGCTCCTCTAACTGAATATTTAAAAAATTCGGTTAAGAACGACAAAACGATTATTAATTGGACATCCAAAGCAGAAAAAGCATTTGAAGAATGCAAAAGCAGTATAGCTAACGCAACGTTAGCTGTTTTCATCTCACCAGATGCTTCTTTATCATTAACATCAGACGCCTCAAATATTGCAATTGGTGCATCTTTAGAACAAATGGAAGATAATAAATGGAAACCAATAGGTTTTTTTTCGAGAAAAATGTCGATAGCTGAACAAAATTATAGCACTTACGATAGAGAACTGTTAGCGATCTATTCTGCAATCAAACATTTTCAGCATATTCTGGAAGGTCGAGTATTTGTCATCAAAACAGATCATAAACCATTGGTTTTTGCCTTCAAACAAAAATCTGAGAAAGCTTCACCTAGACAACTACGGCATTTAGACTTCATTTCTCAATTTTCAACAGAAATCATTCACATTAATGGGAACGATAACGTTGTAGCAGATGCATTATCAAGAATATCTTCT